GAGCGCCACCTCGGGAAGTTAAATCGAGCACGTCTACAGAAAGAGACGAGCTCGAGCTCGAGCAAATCAGCTGGCAAAACATGCGGTAAAATCGTTCCCCAGCTGGGAGAACAGGCGGCGCAATCAATCCCCCCGCTTTTTGTGCCAACAACACATGAGAGTAGGCGCGCCCAATATTATTGTGGGAAAACCGTTTACGTTCCCGAGCTGGGCGATGTGGTAATAACCGAGGAGCATATTGAGCAGGCTGAAATGCTCAAGATCACTGTTGGACAACTCCTCGATATCGAGCCCATGTCTCCGACTAGAGAGGAGGAAATAAAACGGAAATATGTCCGGGGCCAACCTTTGGTCGAACCAGACGAGGTCAAGAAGCTCCCAACGAGAATGTATGAATTGCATCAATGGTACATGGACATTACCAAGATTTCCAATCGAGAGTCCCTCATCGTGAATGTCAAGAAGGATCATTACTACCATGAGAAAGATGTGTCCGTTGAGTAATCAGAACTATTTCAGTTATATAATCAAGATGCACTCGACAAATCTATCGTCAGTTGCTATTGTCTGTAAGTGATTTCTTTCTGTAATTTAAGTCTCAATCTAGCTGTAGTGATCATTTTGATCAATCATTACCTGTAATTATCCTCACTATATTCTTTTCTATGGTATTATGCAGGATGAAGATTTATGAAATGAAAAAAGGTGGACGCTATGGCATTGGGTTCGTTGGCCCAAATACCATTAATGAATACACATGGAAATTAGATCCATATTACGAAAAAAGTGTAGAGGAAAGCATGCTAGAGTTCTTCAAGCGCCTCAAATACAATGAAGATATACTATTTCCTTACAATTTCGAGTGAGTCACACTGTCTTGTACTACAAATTTTGTTTTTGCCTACTAGCTAGCTACATGTTTTTGCTTACATATGTCCGCTTAATTAAGACATGCAAACGTGTGTGCATGCAGATTTCACTGGATCTTGTTAATTATTAAAGTTGATGAAGGGACAGTTGAAGTACTAGACTCACTACTTAAGAAACCAACTAACTACACCATCGTGAAGGGGATAGTCAACAGGTAATTTCAATCATTATTAACTATATCTTGGCCTATTTAATTAGTTCATCATTTCCTGATAACAACTATTTAATAACCCATTTATTCATTTTGTTTGTCGGTGGGCAAGGCTTGGGAAAAGTTCATCAGTGTCACTCCAGGCCAATGAAAACGAAATCTGAAATGGTATTGACCCATGGTAAGTAACTAAGTACTAGTACTAGCTAGCTGTCATCTCTTTAATTATCATGCTTGATTAATTATTATCTGATCAAATTCCATTCTCGTAAAGGCCCTGAAGCAGGCGCCGAGGAATAATCTGTGTGCATACTACGATTGCGAGAACATTCGCATGATAGCGTCCGAAAGGAGCAGATCTCAAAGACAGGAGTGGGTACGTTTGTCAGAACACTATTCACAATTTTTACACCACTATCGATATCTAGTCACACAACTAATACACATGCATATTGATCTCCTTCTTAACAGTTCAAAGAGGTGCGGGAGAAGCTCCTACCAGAGGACCGCATAGAAGCAATTCAAGAGGAAATAGCGGGATTTTTACTCGACCAGGTCATAGATCCCAAAGGAGAATACTTTTACCCGCTACCGCCCCATGAACCACTTCCAATTGTTATCGTGCTCCGAAGGCACCAATTAGGCTAATGTCACTGACTCCGAAGGCACCAATTAGGAGAAATTGTATATAGCTAGCTAATTGTATATATATATATATGTGTGTGTGTGTGTGTGTGTGTGTATATGTGTGAATTAATTAATGGTGGTTGTGAGACATTCGATAATATATATATATATATATATATATATATATATATATATATATGATCGGTTCTACTAGAAATTCTATTTATATATATGCATAACGTGTACAATATGTAGTATCGTAAAATACCATCAAACGAAAAAGAATTAAATGGAAAACATAAAATTAAATGAAAAAGAAATCATAAAACCAAAACCCCCGAACCTTTTAATACCGGTTGGTGTCACCAACCGGTACTAAAGGGCTCCCTGCCCCCGGAGCTGGCTCATGCCACGTGGTTGCCCTTTAGCACCGATTCGTGTTGAACCGGTACTAAAGGGGGGGGGGCCTTTAGTGCCCACACTTTAGTGCCGGTTACCGAACCGGCACTAAAGGGCCTTACGAACCGGTGCTATTGCCCGGTTCTACACTAGTGATAGCCTATTTGATGTTGGGCAACATCCTGCTGTATTTTTTTCATAGCCAATTGAAAGTATATTTTGTTATCCCTTACCATTCATGTTTACATTATGGCAAAACTCATTTTAAATAGGGCAAAACATGCAACAGTAGTTGCCTTGGCAAAACAATGTTCAAAAATGCCACATGGGTGACATTCATAATATACATGGGAGCATGCTTTTTCAAGTTTTCGTCAAGGCAACATGTAGCTTATTTTTTGGGGTGTCACGCCAAATTAGTTTGAATATTTTTCATTTATGACGCTTATTTTTCTCAAGTAACCATGGAAATACATTTTTGTGGTTGCCATGGCAACATTTTTATAGATGTGGCGTCCAAAAACTGAGGGAAATACTTAAGCTATTTTGCTGTATCAGCCTTTCCTCTTCAAGAGAAAACCAACGCAATGCTCAAGAGGTAGCACGTTACTCAATGCTTCCGCTTTCGGTCTACGAGGGTATGTAGAGACACTCTCCACTCTCGTTGCTATGCATCTTCTAGATAGATCTTGCGTGATCGTAGGATTTTTTTTTTGAAATACTGCATTCCCCAACAGTATATACCATGGTGAGTCCTCTTTGCATTTTTTTTAATTGGACCAAGACATGTTTTTTACAACCCATAATGTAGCCAAATGGTAAGTCAAGACTCATTTTTGCCATAGCAAATTGTTCTGCAATTTCCTAGCGGGAATACCATGGCAATTTTTTATATTAATACACCATGGAAATTTTGTTCATAATTTATTTTTTGCAATTTTCATTCTATTTCCATACAAAGGATGGCAATTTCAATTAAAAAAAACCTTGCAAATTTTCATATGCATCTGCCATAGTAATTTTGTTCATATTGTGTTATTTTACATACTTGGCAATTTTCTCATACAAAACATGGCAAGTTTAACTGAAATACCATGTAAAAATTTAATATAAGTCTGCCATTGAAATTTTTATGTTGGTAATTTTGTGTTTGTATAGTTCATTACATTTTACAAGGCAATTTGAATTAAAACCCCATGGTAATTTAAATTTAAACCCCATGGCAAAACCTTGGAAATTTCAATTAAGAACCCATGGCAAACTAAAAGCATATGTTGCCATGGTGGCAACCTTTTGTTGTGTCTTCGACATATCCATTCCAATATTGTTGCCATGGTTACTCAAGTTGTTTCTTTTTTCATGCATTTTTGAAATTTGGTTTTTCCTCTTGTGGGGTTTGCAGAATCTACCGAAACAACCCATGGTATGTATGTTTCAGGTTTCTCATCATCCCAAATTTGAATTACTTTTTGGACCATGTCAATTATATTCCTCTCTAGAGCATGAAAAATTAATTATTTTGGACCATGGCAAATTTACTGTTTGGACCATGGCAATTTTGTTTTGTTATGGACCATGCTAATTATTTTTATCAAAATCTCAAGGAATTATATTACCTTTTATACACCATCATAAATTTCTGTTTTTGATTATTTTTTTCAAAATGGCAAAAACTTGAAAAAATCATGGTAAATTATGTTTGTATACCATGTCAATTTTTTAAATTTCATGTATGTTATTTACAAAATGTAAAATTATGTTCGAACCATTAACCCAACTATCATAGCAAACTTATGCTGTTTGTGCAATCTTTTGCCCCACAAGAGCTATATGTAAGTTGACTGAGTTTTAGATTTAGACAAGTTAATTTTGTGGGAGGAGAACGGTTGGAGGAGGAAGAAAGTTGGAGGAACAAGAAAGAAGGTCGGTCATTTGATCTTTAATCTAATGGCCCAAACTATCGACTTGCCCAAAATAAATTTTCAGACGACTTACATATAGCAAGTCCCTTTTTTGACTTTGATCTACATCATGGCAATTTTTCTACAAGTTTTATCTTTCTACATTTTGCATGCAAATTTTACTATGCATGTATTCTGGTAATGTAATAGATGTCGGCAAATGTTTTGCATATAACATGGCCGTTAACTTTTGTACACTAAAGGTAATACTCACTGCACATGTTATGCACTATTTTTTTCATTTTTTTGTATAAATTATTTGTTTTTATACATTTTGTTTATTTCTTTTTTTCAGATATTTTTTTGAGACATTTTTCTTTATTTCTTTTGCAAAGGGAATTGTGTTGTTGGGCCAGAAGGCCTAGCTAAAAGGGCCCGCATGCATAGTCTTCGCGTTGGGGCGTTTGATATAGGATAATCCTACATCAACGGAAAACAACCGACCTTTACGGGCTCTCTTCACACAAATTAGCCCCCCCCCCCCCTCCTCTGATTTTCAGGGGTGTGGACCCCTCCACCCTCCCTAATCCAATCAGTAAAGGCCAACTAAGATCAATCCGTAAACTCTATAAAACCTTACCCGTGACTCTAGCATTACTCGTTTGACGTATCGAATGAGATATTGTCCCAGCTTGTTTGACGTATCGAACGAGATATCGTCCTGGCTAGCTGAGTTTTAGCTTCTCTCAACAACAAAAAAAGCTAGCTGAGTTTTAGCAATCCCTTTTTTAAAAGTCTCATCACAAAGCCACGTGTTTAAAACGTGGGATGCGCATACAACCTAATTTGCTACAAAATCACACAAATGCACTTATATAAGCGGTTTGTAAGACCGTTTATGAAAACGAAATAGATACATCAATGCCGAGCGTGTGCAAGCGTGGAACACGACATGCCATGGAATGGAAGGCGCTCATATGGTGCACGATCGATCACTCTACATGTTCGAGAAGACCAAGTGATTGTTTTTTCGTAGCAGCAGCTTGGGCCTGTTGTGCAGACAAGTGCCACTCCTCCACACCCTTGCGGATGGTGTCGCTGTCCTCGTACTCATCGCGGAAGGTCTCGAGGTTGTCGAGCATGTTGACGAACGACGACACCAGCAGCTCGTAACGCCATTTCTCCACGCCAGGGAAGTCGCAGTACTTGCTCGCGAACTCGTCGATGTACTGCCGATCACAAGGCAACAAACAATGTAAAACACTGTGTAAATCTCTGAATTTGCTATGGCACCGTACGGGCGTCCAACGATCGTGCACGTTGTGTACACAGTTGTCTGTACCGTGGTGTCAAACAAGCTGACGTCGTGGGTGTACTTCTTGGGCGCGCCGGCGACCTCCCTGGCGCGGTAATACTCCTCCACGGACCGCATCATCTCCTCCTCCGGCGGCAGCGTCCTCTTGCCGGACAGCACCTGCGCCACCCATTTCGCCTGAGCCTCGAAGAACCAAGGCGCAAACACCTGCAAAAACCAAATGCATTGTTTGGTTTGGTTTCTTTTTTTTTTGAAAAGGAGGATATACCTCCAACCTCTGCATTTGGACGATGCACGTATGTGCCGGAAAGATCTAATGCAACGTCGTCAACTTACTCTCGACTGCAGGTTCACGTACCTTTATGGGTATGCCGACAAAGGAGAGCGACGGGCAAGCGACGGCGGGAACACGTGCTCAAACAGCGGGCCGACGCGGTTGTCGTCGACGGTGACCGCTCCCTCCGTGTCCAGGAACGGGAAAGAGTAACTGTACCCCGTGCAGTAGATGATGGTGTCGGCGAGCACAGTGGAGCCGTCGCCGAACACGACCCGTCCGTCCTCGCAGAGACGCTCCACCTGACCTTGTCGGGTCGATCATTTCATTTTGCATGCATGTGGAGAACGACATGGCTGGAGCACCAAAAAAAGAAGACTAGTACGTGACGTACGTACGTGCAGCTGTAGATGCAGGCTGGCGCTGTGCTTGGCGAGCACCTTGGCGAGGCCCTGGGTCACCTCCTCCATGGACTTGGCGACGAGGTGCACCTCCTTCGCCACCCTGCGCACCTCCATGGCGATGTCCTTGCCGCTCTCGCCGCACCCGACCACCACCACCACCTCGCCGCGGAACGGCTCCGGCTCCCTGTACGAGTGGCTGTGCACCTGCCGCCCCCTCCACGCCTCCATGCCTGGGATGCTCGGCAGTCTCGGCTGCGAGTAGTGGCCGTTGGCCACCACCACGGCGTCGAACACCTCCTCCTCCTCCACCTCCCCGGCACCATCACCATCGCACTTGCCGAGATCGACGGACCTCACCGTCCACCGCAGCGTCGGGCCCGCCGCCGGGGCGACACGGACGACGCTGGTGTTGAGCCTGACGGACTCCATGAGCCCGAACGCGTCACAGAAGTCCTTGAGGTAGAGGTACACCTCGCGGTGGCCTGGGAAGCGGCGGCCGTCGAGGCCGTCCTTGGGCGCGAACTGGAAGTCGGTGAACCCCATGTTCTCCCGCGCGCTGATCAGGCGGAGCGACGCGTACATGCTGCCGTGCACCTTCACCGGCGGCTCCGCGGCGCCGAGCAGGTCGTCGCCGTCGACCCTCGGGTCGTACAGCCACTGCCCGCCCACGTCGCCGCTCTGCTCCAGCACCGTCACGCCGTGGCCCTCCCGCCGCAGCTCGCGGGCCGACGCCAGCCCGGCCATACCCGCCCCGATCACGCATACCTTGTGCCGTTGCAATGGCTTGATCTTGATGTCGTCGGAGACCATGTCGATTTTCGAGCGAGACGTCGGCATGTCACGCGGTGGGGAGGTGATTGAATTGTTTGATCTTGTCAAGAACCGAATGGCATCGTCTGCCTCGATCCTTTATTTGTGCCCTTTCTCAGTCAGATCAGCCACTCCACCCACTGTGCTGTAGAAAGCTTCGGTGGTGCAGTGGATGTCATGTCACCCAGTTATTTAAGCAGAGAGAACATATCATTAGCTGGTAACCGACACATCAAAAAAATTTGTGCAGATGCTCATCAGGTCATCATTGCAAAATAAAATAATTGACATGCAGTGCTCGTGGAACCCAAACTACATAGCGCAACGTAGCAAGTGGACCTGCTTAACCATTTGAATTTTGCTCATCGCCACCTTTTCTATCATTGCTGAATGCTGATACAACTACTCAACTTTGATGTCGCTCACCAATTTCGTGACTTCATTCATATTCATTCAAATCAGAAATATATTTTGCAGGTACCAAATATTTCATAAGTTTGAAAAAGGTTTTGCAATATATTTCATAAATATTCACACAAGTTTTGATTATTTCATTTATATTTCAATGAAATTTAGGAAAACAAATCAATGGAATAAATAAAATTTGTGTGAATTCTCATTGATTTGTTTTCATAATTTTCATTGAAATATAACTAAAATGCATGCTCTCGGTGAGGTAAGGCACCTTCCCAGTGGGGGTTTCGAGCTGCTTGGCGGCGTAGAAGTACGTAAGCTGGTAATGCTCCGGCCACGGCGCCGTCTGTATTGCGGGTGCGCCCGTCTGGGCACCGCCTCTGCCGCGACATCCAGCAAGAGCGCCATGACCACCGCCACCACCACATCCACCGGCGGCCATCCGCTTCTTCAGGTTCTCCTCCTTTGTGGCCTTCGCCTTCACGTGGCGAGTTTGCCACATAGCCGAGCTGATCTTCCGGGCGAGCGTGATGCTCGGATCCTCCGGCACCGCCGCCACCTCCATCTCCGATAGGTTCTCCCCCAGTTCCATGCGTCGACGACAAGAAGAGGGTGGGAGAAAAGGGCAGGAATATGGTGGAGAGCGGCGGAGGATGGAAGAAGAGAGTGGGGGATTTTGGCGCGAAAACAGTGCGGATTGCTACAAAAGCGCGTGCTCTGTCTTCCTTGTTGGTGGGCCAGGGGGTCAGAGTGCGACGTTTAGCGTCTCCGGACTCCCGCAAAACCCCCCACGTTTGGTTCCGACATGCAGGAAAATCATGGTCCGGACCATGCCACGGACCGATACAGGACCGTGTTGGATGGCTTCCGCAGTCCAGACAGCGCGGTCCGGACATATACTGGCGGTTTGAGAGTCGGCATTGGAGATACCCTTTCCTCTATTCTTTTTATAGATGAAAGGTTTCGTATCTTGCCTTTTTTTTGGCGGGTGTATCCCTCCTGGGGCATTGTCGTGAAGCTTAGGTATCATAGGGCAAAGTGGGGTGTTGTACTCAGTCCTTCATGTGCTTTCTTTCGGCTAAGTACTTGTGTGCGTCCTAAGTGATCCAGATATCCTGGGATCAGTATTGCATGAGGACTACCTCATCATCCTGTATCGTTCAGTCATATACTTTGTTCGGATGTTATAGCTTTGTATATAAAGCAAGATAAAAGCTTGTTTCGAGAGAGTAGTTGTGTCAAACGATTCAGATATAACAAAAGGAAGCCACAACTATCAGGTCAAGAAATAGGCCCGTCGGTAGTGTTGTTGTTCGAATGACAGACATATACCACCGACGGGTCAAGAAATAGGCCCGTCAGTAGTGTTGTTATTCGAATGATAGACATATATACCACCGATGCGTCAAGAATTAGTTCCCTTAGTGTTGGTAGCTTCCACAATAATGGTCAAATATTTGGGCCCATTAGAAAATATTTCAATTATTTTGTTCATATTCCAACCAAATCCAATTATTTTAGTGCATTCCAAAAAAACATTTTTTATAAATGATTTTCTAAATTATTTGATTGTTTAAAAATCATGAATAACCAAAGAAATTTAAATATTACAATCCAATTTGAATCAATTCAGAAACATTTCATACAGACTTCGCACAAATTTTGATGACTTCATTCATATCCCATTCAAATCAGAAACATTTATGAAGTACCACATATTTTATTAGTCTAATTTCTTAATTGATATATATTTCATAAATACTAACACAAATTTTACTTATATCAGCTGTATTTTAATCAATTTTTTCAAAAATGAGTTTTCCCACAAATTATAAATATTTCGATCAATATAGAAATATTTTATACAAGTACCAACTATTCCATTGTTTCAAAAACTTCTACAAGTATAATTCTTAAGTATGAACACAAAGTTCAGTTATCCAGTTCATAAAAATACATTGATTCTACTTGAAAAGCTACTCATGTCTCATTTTCATAATGCAACGGAGAGAAAAAAAATGGAAGGAACGTGGGCGAGACCCAACACTTGAATTCCAAGACTCAAAAAGTCATACTCCCTCTATTCTTATTACCTCTTAGTATTACATTTGTTCCAAGTCAAATTTTCCTAAATTTAACCAAGTTTAGAACAATAAACATTTATAATAACAAATATACGTGATGTGAAAAATATATTAATGATATTAATTTTGTATGGTAGATGTTAATGAATTTTTTCAAAAAACTTGGCCAATAAATCATAAAAGATTTACTTACGATGGGCGCGGCAAAAATTGGCGCATCCTTCTTCACCCGCCCGGACCTCACCATCCATTGGCGAGAAAGTGAACGGGAAAGGCTGGGGTTGCGGGGGCTCGCCAAAAATTCGATACCAAACAAACACTTTCTTGTGGGTAAGTTGGGGCACCTATCCAAACAGCCCCCATGTGATTGATCAAACCTGCTTTTTTTTCTTTTTCTTTTTCTTGTGAATGATGGTCAAACCTACTCTGCCACATAGTGTAGCCGGTGGAGAGGCAAGAATTATAGTTTTGCAATAAAGAAAATATTGAGCCGAACTTTTCGTTTACACTTTAGAATTTTCTTTCCCCGACGTCTCTTCACTTATGGTAACATCTTTCTCCCAATGGTGTCTCACTAAATCTGTGATGTTCAACATAAACTCGAAAATTCATGGATGCGCCGCGGTTGTTGGAACCAGCTAGGGAAAGCAAAAAATGCTACACCTTTTTATTTCCATCCTAAACTAATCGTCCCTTGATTTTCATTGGGTGAGCTTATAGCTGGCCATCCGCCAGGCTGGGCCTGACCAAGCTTGAGGTAGAAAACTTAGGCCCGAGCCCGGCCACAGGCCTACTTTTCAGGCCCATGTTCGGCACGCCACTACAAAAGCCCGCCAGGCCTCGGGCCTCGGGCCAGGCATCTTCAATAAACCACAAAAACAGTGGCCCAGGCCCGGCTCAGGAGCAGCGTCGAGCCGGGCCGGGTCAGGCTTTTCTGGGCTGGATCGGGCCGGACTACCCATGGCCAAGACTAGGTGGGCCTGGTACTTTTGGCCTTCCAACCAAATTAGGCCAGCTCAGCTAGTACGTAGGTTTCCTAAGGATTTTAGCGAAGCTCTAGCAAAAGGGCAGTGATCTGCGCCGGCGCACCGGCCCAACGTTTCGGCCGGTCGCGCGCGGGCCGTCAGATCAAATCGCGGAGACCGTCAGATCTAGGTAAAAAAACGATTTGCCCAGCTCCCTTCTTCCTCTCACAGAAACATTGTCTCCTCCCCCCGAGCGCCGCCGAGACCACGCCATACAGCGCGAGAAAACGGCCGAGCTTGAAGCACCACCGCGGCGTTCCCTCGTCGCCGGTGGGCGCCCTCGCCGGCCTTCTGCGTTTGCCCAAGAACAGTGGTCGCCATGGATGCAGCTCCGCCGCCCGCGCTCGTCGGAGATCCGCACTCGGCATGGATGTAGCTCCTCTGGCCGCGCTCGCCATGGATGCAGCTTCGCCGTCCGCGCTCGCCATGGATGGATCCCGCCTGCGCACGCCATGGATGCAGCTCCGCCTCGCTGACGATTGACTGGTTCCAGCAAATATAATTGGCCGTTGTAGCATTTTTCGTTGTTGGTCGTAGCAAAATGAAGACATGGTTGCAACAAAAAAGAATGGGTTGTAGCGAACATTTGCATTCTAAAAAAATAAACGGATGTAACAAAGCCCGTTGCCGGACGTAGCAAATACCTATGACAGTTGTAACAAAAAGCCGGCGTCGCCGTCGCGGGTCGCAGCTCGGCCATGATGGATGTAGCAAAACATTACGCCGGTTGTAGCAAAAAACGATGCTAGTTGTAGCAAAATCCTGCTACGGTTGCAGCAAAACATCGTTGTCGTCGTCGCGAGGTCCGAGCTCCGCCTGATGGATGTAGCAAAAAGCTTCGCCGGTAGTAGCAAAATTCAACTATGGTTGCAGCTTCCCCTTGTTGTGCAGTGCCATTGAAGCTTTCTATGTCTATGGTTGAAGCTTTTTTGAATGGCTGTTGAAGCTTTTTTAGGTGACGGTTGCAACACTTCTATACGCGGGTGGATCCGGGCATGGCGGGTAGGCAGTTATGGCGGGCGGCGAGGGAGCGCCCTGGCCGCCGGCGATGGAGCTTGTGGTGGCCCAGTCGCTGCCCGAGAGGAGGAGGAGGGGAGGGGATGCGCGCCCTTGAAGGCTGTAGGTTGGGGATGGATCTGGCCATCGCAGCAGGCAGCCATGACGGAGCGCCTGGCCGCCGGCGATGGAGCTCGTGGAGGCCCAGTCGCAGCTCCGGGGAGGGGAGGTGCGCGCACGTAGGCTGAAGGTAGGGGATGAAGACACGTAAGGAAGAAGGCGGGGATGCGCGGGCGCGTTTGCCAGCGTGGCGTGTGAACCGGCAGAACGGTTCAGCCGGTGCGCCGTTTCTAAACACTTCCGCTAGCAAAAGCCCCCATTCGTTCAAGGCAGCCAGATAGGCAAACGTATCATTTCCAGAAGTGGACGAAATCTTTCAAGCTCGAGTCAGATTCGTACACTGCGTGCGAACCATATGACC